ACCTTATTTCAGGAGTATCCCAATCTCACGACTTTGAAAAAAATTTGACCCGTTTTGGGGAACACACTATAGAAAATTTTGGGGAAATGGCACCGAAATCCTTACGGCAGAAGTTTATATGTATATGGACGAACTTATAGTGGATGTCGAGTCGAAGACGGACTATGATCACCACTACAATTCGTTTACGCGCCCAAAAACGACTTGGTTCCTTTGATAGCTCGTAAATCAGAAGACTTTATTAATCCAGATCAATTGTATTTATTGGCGATCTCGTGGTATCGAAATAATACCGAGACGTGCCAAAGAGTACAGGCGAACAGACAGTGCGTGAGCAAGTTCGAACCAAACAAGGCGGAGAGCGAAAGCAGAAGTGAAACTGATACAGTTAAACAAATACAGTAAAACAATCTCTGGTACAATTGGTTACAATAATAATAATTGTTTCCGTTATTCCAATCGTGTTCTTATCGAGAATGGCCGGTCACTACAAACTAACCAGATTTCGATGCTTAGTACATTCTTATCCCATAGCTGCAGCTATGGGATTTGGCTGGGTTCTGTGGCATTCCACTAAACCTACTGGTAAAGAGAAGAGCGGAATATTCATGTTTAGGTTTTAGATTCACGTATTGTGGACAAAAAGCATTTGGCCTGTGCTGGTCCTAGCAAAGCTCTGTGACAATCTAGTCTTATTTCGAATCAAGGAATCTAAAGTGCAGACCACTTCCGGTAACGGGTGACAAGTTAATTGATTGATGAAAAGACCTGTATGACATGGACATTGTTCTTCGTCGGCTTTTGTACTCGCCTGCTATGCCCTCTGAGTTGTCCTGGTCTGGTAAAAGAAAAGGGAAGATATATCAGGTCTAAAATCATGTCTTAGAATTCTATACCTCAAAATCAGTTCACCTCTTAATCTGCGGTAGGACAGAGTGAAGAGTTTAGCTTTTTAAGCCGCTCTATGTATGGTAGACACCTGAGTTCTAGTATTTTACGGGTAGTTGCCCCCTGTACATTTTCCGTAGTATCCGAATGATCGTTTATGCAAGTAATGTATGATAAGTCAGGATTCTAAAACGAAGTTATGTGGTACTCAATTAGGAACTAGCTTTAACGATGAGCATTTCGAGTTTATTCCTACTATTGTTACAACTTACTAGGTTTTTGGCTCATAACCTGAGTTCCAGCAATTCCTAGATTTTCTGGCGATACTATTATGTATAGATTAACCAATCAGAAGCATCTGAGAGACTTCAGAGTCACAGCGTCAATTTCAGTACCTGATGCTCATGTACAGTCGGTTCACAGAGGATTTTAGAGAAAACGTGATGATTAAATCGCTACAATAAATGAGACTACTAAGGATTTCCTTTATTTTTAATTGCGGTAATCAAATGACTTGTAGACCTTGTGCAGACTACCGTGATGTTGTCCTTCGATGTAATCTATGTTCGAAGAAGACGTCTGCTAGAATAAAAACTTTCACGCTCGATCCAGATTTGAACTAAGGCAAATTATAATAATTGCTGTGAACTGTATGATAAAAGCACCAGTAAGAGTGGTTGCAATATTCGCAGATGTTATTGAAGCTTCGGCTGTTCAGAGATATGAGTATTGTAGGGATATGTGCGTAATAAAATGACAAACTTACACAACCAGAGTACACACAAACAATATTGAAGCTATGTGGTCGAGGCGGAGAGTGATTTTGTGACCTAATCATGGCTCCAGAGACCGACCATTATGAAGCCATATAGATGAGTTCCCCTACCTTATGCATTACGAATTTAGAACCTCTGAACATCTTTCTAACCGTGACAAGTTTTTGAACCCTGTGAAAGAAGTGTATCCACTTTAATTCTTTGGTTTTGTATAATGTTTTCACTCTACACTAGCGGTTCCCTGATTGGCTAATATTTCTCAAGGTCACTTGAGATTCGATCAAGAGTCGTCCATAAATTATAGTGTCGCCGCGCTAGCTTTCCATCTCTGTGTAACCATTTTGCTGTCAGGATATCCGTTCGCGATATTCGTTCCCTAAAACTGTACTGTTTACTATTTGCTCAGTTGTTTGGTTTTTATGACTGTTATAATGGCATTTTTGATTATTCTTCCCAGTAATTGAATTATGACGATATTGAAGATAATGGGTTTATAATTAATTGCCTTGATCCTATCTTGTGTATTGGACTAACAGTCTTATCCTTTCAGCCCACTGGTAACTCTGGCTGAGGGATATCTTAAATATCTTATTGATCGGGACAGCAACGTATATTGAAATTTATCTCAACCGACTGAGGTATAGTTCATCTGGTCCTGCTGGTCTTTTCGTCTCTTTAGAACGTCGTGGAAGTTAAGGTCTACGTTAAGTGATTTTGTGGCATAGCTTCTAGAGCTTGTGCGTCGATTTGAAATTCATACATAAAGACTCGAAAAACAGTTTACCATAGCTTCTGTTGTGTCTTGGTCTACCTATGTCATCTGAAACGCACTTCCTGCATTTAGAATAGAAATCTATGGATGCGTTCTCGTTCTGTAACTTATTTTTGGAACTGGTAGCTTCAGATGGTTGGTTTTAGTTTGGACAAGCTGATTTTTTTCTGGAACTGTCAAGGGTATGGACATCCGAGTTACTTGGTTATATAACTTTCAGAGGTTATATCATGTCTTTCTCACTAATGCTTCCGAGTAGAATTTTCAGTCTTAAGCAGTGGTTGTATAGTTGATTTCCTTCGTCTCCACCTGTTAGGACTGTCCGGTAGCCATGCTTGGTAGAATATAATGACCACACGGTCACTTCTCTCTTTAAGTGAAATTTACCCAATTTGACGAATATCGCCGTTAGCAATAGTAATTTTAGGGTGAAAAATGAGTGCTCTAAACCATCTCTGGGGTGATCTTTAATGTATTGGACTAAAGATAGTATGATTTTCGTTTTTAACATTTTGTAATCGGACGAGTTTTCTGAACACACCATCTATGTGTCAGCCTAATTTGGATATGGTGCTGTAGACCATCAACGTTAATGATCTCTGTCGAATGATTGCAGGCCTACAAGAATTAGACGGGAACAGTGTGATAAACCAGCTAACTTGAAAGTCACTTCCTGGCCAGCATCTAATGTGGATCACCCCTTCGACGTATTAAAGTACTATGGCTTCTTTGGAGACTGTATAACACAAAAGACGCTATTATAGAAATATATTGGTAAGAATGAGTACAGAGATAGTGAGACCACCGCATGTGCCAGTCCATGGTATACGATTCCCTGATGCGCGTTGTTTTTCCTTGACTTTGACAGAAATTGTAACAAGCCCATTCAACTACTGTATTATTTGTGTGCTCTCTGTAATCTTAACATTTAATCCACTTTGTAAATTTATGTGTGAATCTGATTGAGCGCATGTGTCTGCACGTCAATCTTTGATCTGTTCTCTCTTTGGTTATAAGCAAAGACAATCAATAATTTATCCACAACCATTAACACTCATAAATATATATGAATTTTTAGCACACACACACTTGTTTTCCCTGTGTGCTTGGTATCTGTACGCTTGCGGATTTTTACTGAGCTTCAACAATAAACTATCTCTATAACTGGTGTTCAGGCTTTTGAATAATGTCGAGTAAACCCATAATTCTACTAGGAGATTTAGCCTGCATTAAATAATGAGTTAGCGGGATATTATTTATTTATTGGAGTCAGATATAGAGGAATTAATCATTTACAAAAAGATCGATTATCTGTCCGATATTCAGTGACCCAACTGCCGAATGATTTGGTCAGGGCTCAGTGACATTTCACTGCCCCTTCAATGCGTTTAGGTCAACTTTTATGAGCTTTCTGGATTTCCTGACCAGGGTTGCAGTTCATTTAGAACGAAATTGTCTACTGTACATCTAGGGCTATGATACATTGCAACTACTCCAGTGTCTTTCCCTTTACATTTTCTGCCGGCACTCCACCAACACATGTGTCACTGAGTCACGTCTCGACAGCTTGCATGGATTAAGTATTTTTCTGGAGAAAGACTATGCCATCACCTCGGTGTCTCAGCCTACCTGTTCTGAAGGGCGAGAAGTCCGTCAAATGTATATAGCCTCTGTCAGGGAAGTCCTAATCACTGCCTTCTCGTAGCATGGGTGTTGTTTACGAAATTGAGAGGACGAAAAGTGAATGTCTGGCGCTTCAACCGGGTTGGTGGACACGGAAAGTCCATCTAGGGGAGTTGAAAAACCCTGATTTCAAACCAATGGTGTACATGGGCTGCAGTATCCTGAGGGAACAAATGGCGTATGAACCAATCATCAATCACCGGCTGCCATGGAACTGCATCTCCTCACGACGCTACATTGCCTTGTGGATTAGGCTTTTAGGTTAAAGGCTCCGGGTGTGGTCCCCTAAGAAGACCACCTGCTTCAGTTTCGGTACCTGGGCAGTATCACAGCCCTCACACAAATAAAATGAGATTTGTGTGGCGCATATGTTTCTGGTGCCCCCTTGTACCAATATTTATGTTTAATTTTTTTTAAAATTTATTTAAACGCGTAAATATTGGTACAAGGAAGCATCAGATACATATGCGCCATACAAATCTCATTCGATTTGCTTGAGGGATGTGATACTGCCCGGGTGCCCAAACCGAAGCAGGCGGTTTTCTTAGGGGGCCACACCCCGAACCTTTGACCTAAAGGTCTGATCCACAAGGCAGTAGAGCATCGTGAGGAGATTCAGTCCCATGGTAGCCGGTGACCAACAGCAGGTTCATTCGCCATTCGTTCCATCAGGATACTGGAGCCCATGTGCACCATTGGTTTGGAATCGGGGTTTTCCAACTCCCCTAGGTGGACCCTCCGTGTCCATCAACCCGGTTAAAGCACCGGACATTCGCTTTTCGTCCTCTCACTTTCGTAAACAACACCCCCGCCACGAGAAGACAGTGAGTAGGACTTCCCTGTGAGAGGCTGTATATTCGCTGGCCATGTGAGAGCATTTCGAGAGGGAGAGCGGACTCTCCCCATTCTCGGCCGTACCAGAGCATTTGGGTGGCTTTAAATTGATAAATAAACACATGTATTTTGTGCCCCTTCCTACTAATATTTATGTGTTCAAATAAATAGTCATCTCAAATTCCAAGTGGACTCTTAAGCTTCCTTTTATTATTCTTTGGTATATTCACGTTTATCAACTTTAACCACCTTAGTAACTAAATGCTACTAGGTTTTACTTGGCTTCTAGTAAGACACAAGTTACATGTCGTCGCGTTCCTAAAATCTCGCAAAAATTTGAAAGCTTCGGAGAAATAAATAAATCTTGCTTACAATATTTATCTTTTCGAGAAACAAGGTAGTATCATTAACCTTTGTACTTGAAGTGTGACTCATGCCCAATTACCTAGTGAATGAGTTATTTTATTTATTAAGGAGAGAAGAGAGCTATGGTACGCTGATACTGAAGTTTCGTTGACAATTGTGACTTTTATCACAGTTATCAATTCGAAACTAAATATATTTTACCGGTAATTTACGCGATCTCGTGTTACAATTAGCCTTAATGCACTTCCTCATGTACTTGGTATTTATCTATTTCTCGTCACTTTTCACTCAGCTTGGTACTTATATCATGCATCAAAAAACATTCATTATAACAGGCAGCAAACTTATTAACAATTTAAGAAAAACATCTTTAAGCTAATGTCAACCGTATGTTATTTAAATCTCGAAAGTGAGTTCCATTTAGTGATTCATTTTATAATTTTAATCATCAGAACTAAGTAATAATTACCAACATGTTTCGTTTCTGGTTGAACTAAATGTTTCATAATAAGTTGGATGGCACTAGTTTTCAAAAAGCTGTATTTGTTGTTTACAATAATCAATGTCGCTCGTTTCTAAAACTGGATTCCAGTTGGCTAGGGGCTGTTGTCTATCATAGTCCCTTTTTTTCCAGAGGTTTAAAATACTTTATCTGAACAACCTAGTAAAACAATATAAACTGAGATAATGATGGCTAGCAGGGAAATCCAGGACGCGCGTTTCGTCCTATTCGGGGCTCGTCAGCTGGATGTACCTGCATCCGAAGTTGATGTTCGTCCCGAGACTCGAACTCAGTGCCGTTCTCTTCAAACACCATCGCGTTATCCACTTGGCTACTGAGCCCAGATAGCCACTACCTGATGCGATGGGGTGAAGTTTAATTCATTCTTGTATTTGTTGCGTGAATCTTCCCACTGATGTTTAGGATTGCAATTGATTAGTCTCTTATCAGCATATGCGCATCCTGTTAGGATTGCCTCGATATTGCCTTCAGTCACAAGCATTACAAGCTGAAGGCAATATCTAGGCGATCCTCACAAGATGCGCATATGCCGATAAGAGACTAATCAATTGTAGTCCTAAACATCAATGGGAAGACTCAAGCAATCAATACAAAAATGAATTAAACTTATGGAAACGTTTTATTAGGGTGATGAACTTTTCTGGTTGAATGATTGGCTATTTCTTAATCAATCAGCACCAGTGAATACGAGGAGAAGACCTTAGAATCTTGTGTGGAAATTCTAGATTTACTAACGTTTTTCATGTGATTCCTACTTCCATCCAACATTTTTATTTGGAATATAATTACGTTCCTGTTCAACCGTGTTCTGATTTGGGGCTTGTTGAGTGAAGTAGTTTCCAAGAATACTAAAGAATAAGAGTAGCTGAGCCGCAATAAAAGAAATCATAACATCCCACAAAACTAACGACCAGATAAATACACTTTCTAGTCCTCTATTACTGCTAGTATTTATGTATTTGATTCACGAGTCAACATTCGCACGATGGATACTCATTAATTTTGTTTGTATCATTTGGTGAATGGAAATAATTGATGGATTTCGTTGTTGGTTTTTTAATTTCCACTCAGAAATAATTTATTGCTCGCTAAGACCTTTTGATTATGTCTGAAGTATCTCTTCTCCATGCGTCACCTTTTATTGCTTTGCCATTTGTTGGAGCATTTGTTGGACAGAGGATTGTTTCTAAAAATATGTACTGGTATGATACTTTGAGAAAGCCATCGTTCTCGCCTCCCAAATGGGTTTTTGGACCAGTTTGGAGTGCACTTTATGGTTGCATGGGAGCTGCGTCCTATCTGGTATGGAGAGATACACCATATGAGAAGGTGATGGTTCCCCTGGCTGTTTATGGTGCTCAGCTTTTACTTAACTGGTCGTGGACACCTGTGTTTTTTGGACAGCACAAAATAAAATATGTATGTTGGTTTTATTTGGTTTGGCGTGTATATAGTGATATTAGTGTTAGTCATTAGATGTGTAGATGAAGTCAGTCAGTCAGCTACAACGTAGGACCAGGCACATATATGCATCGGTCCAAGTTGCCATACCTCGTTAGCACAACAAGATCAACACCAAATTCATAGAAGTAGTTAATTAAGTGGTGGTAGTATATAAAGAAAGGTTGTATATAAGGATATAGTATAGGAAGGAAAAAAGTTATGAAGCAATTTTAATCTCAAGGTTTAAGGGAAGATGAAGAGTGTATACACCTACGCCATTGTGATCGATTCTGAGCCATATCACAGAGTCTCCAACCATTGGTTAAGAAAGTCACACGGACCCCAACCAGGTAGTCTGCATCTACGAACATGACTCAGACTAGAAGTTAGTGACTTCAAGTATTGATTCCATGTTTTGGTTTGGCCGCCCCTAACTCTTTTCTAACCATTCCCTACACTAGTCAGCATAGTGCGTCGTGGTAATCGGTGTACAGGCATACGTAACACGTGGCCCAACCATCTCAGTCGATGAAGATTCATAACTTCATCAACTGATTTACCATCAACAGTTTTAGCGTATGTGATCTTATATTCAATGATGTAATTAAACAACACTGCCTAACCCTACTGCCCAAACGGAGCGATTACAAGAGATTGTTGTACCCTCTCACTCTATCTGATTCGTTTGTGTACAAAACATTCAAAATGTTGAAAAACACACCCCTCTTCGATAGGTAACGCCAAATCACTGTCCTGTTCAACGAATCGAAGGTAGTGTTGATATCAAGCAACACAACAATTGTGATAAGTGTTGGTGCATTAACGTCTGGCGAAGTGTTAATAGGTAATTAATATATTCGTAATTTGAATATAAATCAGCCTGCTCCCCACAAGTCAGTTTTCCACGGGTTTTATGCAATCTACAAACTATGAAAAAAGTCAATACTTCGGAGAAAATCAGGAGTAGACTTATCACCAGTTGGTTGCTGTATGGATTACATAGGTCATTTTCAAAGATGATGACGACTTTCGCTCTATTCCAGGATTTTGGAACAGTGGTTTATTTCCAAGCCTTTGCGGACGACCCAGTCAGTTTTTTGAACAGAAGTTCTTCATTTTGCTTCCTTTATAAATTTACTGACTGTAAACTTTTCGTTGGTTGCATTGGGGTTGTAACCTGTTGAGGTGTAGGTGTAGATTAAGAAGTAGATCGTTTCCTACTTTCGTCTTTCTTCACATTGAAGGAACTTTCTAATCCTAACACAATACAAGCGGCTGTTAATGAGGATCCAATTGATTGATGCTGTTTCTGGTCTATTTCTCATTGAGACGCAAACACCCACTAAATAAAAGTGCCTAGTGATCTCCGGATAAGCTCATTTGAAACATGTTTTGAAATAGACAGATGAAGAGCGAATGCGTGGTACTTCCCTAGAATCTTAAACATTAGTCTTCTTCACAGCTAACATCAATGTCACGAATTTTCAAAGGCATCCAAACCTATTTGTTGTTCGACCTACTTCTGTGTACGAATAATATCGGGAACGGATTTGAGTAGAACGCGGTTTAAGAAACTCTTATTCAGATTTTATATTCTATGGTGGCATTCAAAATTTCGATCAGTTAGTGTCCTCAGTTTATTTACTCAGAACAGAACTTTCATAACAGACGCACTTCAGTTACCCACGAACCCCAGTCGCCCTGAATGGAAAATTGATGTAAGTCCTCCAACCCTCTGCGAGGTTGAAAAAGCTATAGGAAATCTGAAGCGAGGGAGAGCAGCAAGCCCTGACAGGTTTACTCCTGAGATTTTTAAGGATGGTGGTCCAGTACTAGCAGCAAGATTGACTGAGGTCTTAGGTAGAATTAGGGAACTGGACGTAATTCCATGTGTCTGGTCCCAATCACTGACTGTGCCAGTCTATAAGAAAGGACATAAGTCCTCTTGTGACAATCACAGAGGGGTCAGTTTGACTAATATAGTGTCTAAAATATTAGCTTCAATAATACTTCGACGCTTAATCAAAGCTCGTGAAGAGCAGACTAGAGAAAACCAGGCTTGTTTTCGACCTGGACGTGGTTGTATAGACCAGATATTCACTCTACATCAGGTCCTAGAACATAGACACATTCAGACGTCCCACAATAGTAGTATTTCCTGACCTTGAGGCGGCATTCGACTCCGTTGATCGTGAGGTTCTATGGCAGTGTTTGTCAGTGAAAGGAGTACCAAAGAAGTACATTAACCTCATAAAGGCTCTCTACTCGAACACAACTGGTCGAGTTAGAGCCTATGGCGAATTGTCATCAGAATTGGTTACCTCAAGTGGTGTTCGTCAGGGCTGTCCACTCCCCCATTCTTGTTTAACTTTGTCGTCCTCATGCTTTTAAAGATAACAGTTTCCTCATCTAAATCTCCAGGAGTTGAACTTTTACCGGGAGGCTCACTTGTTGACTTTGAATACACCGACGACATAGTTATATTTGGTGAAGACGCTGACAAAATGTAGAGTCTTCTGACCACTATAAGCAACAATGCAGGCATGTTCGAGATGCGATTCTCCCTCATGAAGTGCAAAATGTTACTTCAGGATTGGGTTGCATCGACACCTGAACTAATGATAGGGAGTGAAGTAGCTGAGCGTGTTGATCTCTTCACTTGGGAGTCTCATCAGCCCTTGTGGTCTGATGTGTAACGAAATTTCAGCACGGATACAGAAGGCTCGACTAGCTTTCGTCAACTAGCGTAATTTATGGCGTAGGCGAGATATTCGTCTAGCAACCAAAGGACGTGTGTACTGTGCAGAAGTTCATTCCGTCCTACTTTATGGCAGTGAAACATGATCGATAAGAGTAGAGGACATTCGTAGGCTACTAGTATTTGTTCACAGGTGTCTTCGAAGCATTGCTCCTATACCCTGGGACGACCGGGTGAATAATTCAGTTGTTAGGAAACGGGTACTAGGTAATGATGGTAAATCGATTGATGAAGTGGTGAAACTTCATCAGTTGAGATGGCCGGGACACGTGTTACGTATGCCCGACCACCCACTGCCCCGACATGCAATGTTTTATGGTGTATGATTAGGTTGCAAGAAAGCTAGGGGCGGCCAGATCAAAACGTGGCACAAATCGATGAAGTCACTGACAATTGGACTGAGCCATGTTGGTAGGTGTAGACTACCTGTATGGGATCCGCGAGATGATAGCAATCGATGGTTAGAGACCTTGAATGACATGGCTCAAAATCGTTTGCAATGGCGAAAGTGCATCCACTCCTTGTGTTCTACCAAATTCTAACCTTTTGAATTCTTCATGTCCCTATCCTTTTTCTCTTTCCAAATTTATTTCACTGTATTATATTCTTTGAATAACATCTTCAAACCCCAATCTTTCGGTTTACTGCTTATATTCTTACTACTTCTACCACTATGAGATTTAAATCGGCAACTTCATCTCTGTGCTAATTTGGTATGGCAACTCGAACTGATGTACGTACGTACGAAGTTCTACGTTGTGACTGACACTGCTAAGTGTGTTGGAAAATAAAGTATAAATAGAATGCAAACAAAACGGGATAAAAAAATTCGACTGAAGTACAACGAACACACCTGAATTATACGGATAACACTTATCTTTTGTGGTATTTATAAAGTGAAGAAAGCATGTCAGTTTCGTCATAGTTATACATTGTCATAAATGTGAAACTGCTAGGCTACTTCCCGGGTCCCTTAATTGAAGCATTGAATATGAGAATATATTCAGTAGTTGGAGCACATAGTTTAAGTTATCAAAACTTTTAATAGCAAAAGGTATTGTTATACGCCGCCATTAGTAAATAAAATGAACTTTACAGTAACACACATTTCTCGAGCATACACAACATATTTGTGTCACACAGTTTTTCTTCATTAAACATAACTACAAGGAATCATGGACGATTTGATTAGCAACATTGACTTGTATTTTGCCTCTAACGCTTGGACGTTGCTCAGGGTCCTCCGAAGAACAGTCCACCTGGTCTTACAAAGCCGTTCCCTTAGCCTTTAACCTGGAAGCCTAATCCACAAGACAGTATAGGAACATCAAGAGATGCAATCCCATGGTAGCTAGTGACCAAAGATAGGTTTTCACATCATTTAATCTTCCAAAATCCTGAAGCCTGTGGCTTTTTCGATTTCACAAGGTGGGGTATTCGTGTCCATCAATTTGGGTAGTGCACTGGAGATTAGCTTTCCGCCATTACTTTCGTAATCAACACTCGCCTCGAGAAAGCGAAGAGTAGAACTTCTCTCACAGTGGTTATAAAAGTGTCATATGAGAGCATTACGGCAGAGAAGCCTTACTATCCCCACTCTTGACCGTAGCAAGCTACCAATCGTGTTGGTTGTCATATACTAACTAAGAGCTAACTCATAGCCCTAAATACCTTATATTTTTATCACAGCATTAATATTACATAAACTTTGATTTGCCTAATATGTTATTAGTGTCAAATGTATTACCTTATTCTGACGCCTTGTTTATGCATATATTTTCCAAAGGGAGCTATGATAAACTTGGGAATTCTTGGCGGTGCTGTTACATGTGTATATTTATTTCGTCCCATCAATATCAATGCCAGTAATCTAATGATTCCATATGCTTTATGGACAGCATTTGCTTCAGTCATCAGTGTTCGTGTGGCTATGCTAAATGATCATGATTAATTGAATAAATATAAATATAACGAACAAGGAACATTTCTAAAAGTCGTGTCTGCGAGTTTAGTCTTGTTTTGTTTATACTTTAGTCTCTAAATATTTTCAGTAACTCAGGAATATTAATTAGTTTATTTTTGTTACCCCTTTTTTCCAATAACTTCTTAGTATGTTGTGACAGTAAATGCACGTCTTTTTTCAGTTTTCTCTACTACTTTTATGAAAAGCAAGTCATAGAAGTATTTCCACGAAAATATCATAGGGGTTGATAACTTTTACATAAAGCTTATAATGTTGTTGGTTATGCTTTTTTGGTCGTTTGAAACCAGTAATTTCCAAAAATTTGGAACTTACAGTGTGGGATTAGATTAGATAACTTTAAATCATTCCACAAAATTTCAGGAATTAAAATATTTTCTAAGAGATTGATTGATGCTGAATCACAGCATAAAAACTAATAAACGACAAAAAACCAAAACAATTTACTTAAGTAAAGCAACACAATGAATATTAATTGTCCATCTAGGAAGAGGAAATCGAGGAGAGAATTTGTATGCTCAAGTGAATAAAAAACCTGAATTTAAAACGATGTACTTTTAACTCAGGTGACAGTCACTTGTGTAATTAGTTGGAACCCGTTGGTCACAGATCAGATGACAATAGCCGTCTCTCGCAACTTCACGCACAAAACAGCCTGTCTCTGACCAGTACACCCTCCAGGATAGTCATTATTATTATTAGCTTTATTCAATATTATATTTTTGACACATTATAGAATTCTCAGCACACCGTATTTCTGCAAGTTTCCGTTTCTTACTTCTTCGATCCTGACGATAAATATTGAGTGATCACCAGTTAGAAGTCCAGTCAATCGACATCTGAATAATGTACTTTTTTTGTTGCATATTGCCATCAACCACGATATCTCTGATTAGGCCTTTTGTAACCTGTACAGCGAAAGGTTGTACGCTTGTCAGAAACGCACCCGAGTTGTGCGATTAATAGCCATGATGATGTATTAAAACAAACAAAGTTAGATAACTTGTTGAAATATCTAGATGATAGGAACAGGTAGCCCAGATGCTTTAGCAGGCCGCCATTGCCTATAATACCTGGCACCCTCGCTCAGTGATTCAAAACTGAACTCAAGTTAATCACATCGTGACCAGCTACCGCTAGAATAGTTGTGTACAAGGCTGACGCTCCTTTTGGAGCATCTATCTGCGCCAAAATTATCTTGCGTTTTGGAGGCCAGAAAATGCCTTGTCCTAAATGGACTGATCTAGACTATTTGGCTGTAGCTCCCGTTGCAACCGAGTGTCGAAGTGAGCTAAGTTCAATACTAACTACCGCCAGCCCACTGGGAAGTGTAAATGAGCAACAACTGTGTTTGGATGTCGTCATGCAACTGGTGAGTCACGTCTTTTGCAAAGCGTCCCACTTATAAATGCAGGCTCCTTACACAACTGCTTGAAAGCCGCCGGTCTACTCTCGCGAGTTTAATGATAAGTGTAGATACCTATGTAAAGAAATTGTGCGGAATTTGTGTGATCACCGAGAAACCTCATGGTCGGAGCTTTCTATCGGGTTGGGAACAGCTGCTATACCAGACAATTGTCGGAAGCTCTTTTGACTCATTCGGACCACTGGCAACATTAAGTCTGGTATCCACATTACTGGCTTCTGTAGTGCTCTTCATATTGTGGAAAACCTGTAAAGGACTGACTTCTAAGCAGCACATTAGCTTTCATTGAGGTCGTTAATGTATTGGTCACATATCAAACAAACAAAACTCGTTGTGGCTCGCTCCTCGCTGCACCACTTATTATTCTCGACCACCACAAATTATAGAAATCTGGTTAATCATTTTCAAAGATTGTTACTACTACATTAGAGTCTGGTGAACTATTTTAAACACTTTACTGGGTTCCTTAGTAGAATAACTTATGTATTGTTGTACTAATTCATATTGACTCCGATTAAACTATCTTCGTTGCCCGACTAGATGACATTGTAATCATTTTTTTGTTTTTACATTACTTAAAAAACTCTTGAGTTACATAAAATGTTTTGCTAACTGCATTATACTATCGTTGCCTGATAGTGTTAATCAAAGTCGACCCGCTGTGTGTTTATTTCCCGGCCTATTGTTTTATTATCCGGTAACCTTGGGGATATATTAGCTTAATGGTATTTATTCTGGCAACAATACATTGTATTTAAGCTTATCTACAATATCCAAATTGAGAGCATACTGTTATTTAGTGGTTGATATAATTTGAGACAGTGCAATGAGAAATCAATTTCAACGACAGTTATGGGAATGAACATTTTTTATGTACTTACGAAATATATAGCTGTCATCAGCAATTTACTACATGTATTGTTTCGAAATCCAAATTGTAGAGTTAGTTATAATATACAGAAATGAATTGGGTCGGAGAGTAGTATGAACACATTAGCTTGTAGCAAAGATCCTAATAAATTCAGTAGACTGAGTGAAATATTACAACTAAATATTATACTCGGAAAATTCTGGAATATTGACAGTACTAAATGGCTAGAAATAAGTGGTTATGTCACAAACACTATAGAAACAAATGCAGTTAGAATATTTCTATGGATAATTATTATTTGATGTTTCGTATCAACAAATGTACTATCGATATCTAACATTAACCAGGAAATATAAATGAAATAACGAGAGATTTCCAGTTCAAATGGATGTTACTGCGTTCCCTAAGCTAGGTGGTTGGATTGAAAAGCTTTCATTACTGTTCTGGACAATTTTATCAGCTCTTACTTGTAGAAGTTAAGCTTTTATTCCATGTGCTTCAAGTCAGTTTGTCCTGATAGCTTTGACGTAACCCTTCTCTTTCTGTCTGTCTAAGCTAATTCTAACTCTTACAAGCGATTTGTTTGATCGCTGTTTCCTCCAAATTGGTCGTCACTACGAGTTTCTGAATAGTGGGGAGACAATTCAGCAATCGGATCAGTTTTATGATTCTACGTAGACATTTAACAGTACTCACCGTATGGATTTCTGATAAGTTACTGGTCAGAACTTTGTATGATTTAATTTGTCCCATAGATATCCTGCTAGAACTGTAAACGCAATACTGGCTACTCCCGAGTTTATGTGAAAGCTATAGTCAGAATAAGGACAACCTGGCCTTAAGCTTTATCTGTTTCTAAATGTGAAATTAACAATTTGATTAGTACAATAATTAAAGATACTGTAGTCATTAAGTGGGACGCACGAACATACCGACCAACATTGCGTGTCTTATTGAAATGAATAAAAATTCAGTCACACTAGTATAATATGTTAATGATGTCCTTCAATTGGCAGGTCACATGCAACAAGGATAGTCTGCAAACACATCAGACCAAATTGATGTAGTGAGACTTTAAGCAACGATTCTATTGGTCAGTTATGGACATGACTAACACAATCTCAGTTCAACTAAATAATATTTTTAATAACTTCTAAAGATTTTCGAGACTTGTGTCAAATATACTAGCACTTGAGATAAAAGGATAAGTAGGGTCAATTCACTTAGAAAGCACAAACAAGAAAGGAAACTGTTAAATTATATTCTTCAATATCAACAACGAAAAATTACAAACCCTCTCTATTAACTGAACAGGTTACTGGACCAAGTAGCTTAATGGAAAATGTGATGGCGTTTGAAGTGATATTCGCTGGGTTTGGATCTCAGTGTAAAAGTCAACATCGAGATGCAGGCACGTCCAGTTGATCAGTCCCATACAGGAAGAAAGAAGCATGTCCAAAATTCCATCTCAAACCACATTTCAAATATGCTAAATCAATGTATGACATTTTAGCATTTTGAAGGCGAGATCTTTCCTGTGTAGACAGTACACGTCTGTTAAATTTGACTGATCTGATTCTTTTAATATTTCATCAGAAGGATAATCGCATTACGAAACAGCCCTTTAAATTATCGATCTACATGATTCATCAACTAACATTAAATGAAAGGACATAGGTGGTGGAGGTAGTAATCGCATCTACATTTGTAGGTAGCAAACTGAAAGCTACGACAAAATAAAAAGCAATTAATAGACTAATTGCTGAACATGTAAGTTTTATTAGGTTATCGTCCAATAAGCTAACCATATGCCAAGTAAAACATATCTTGATAGTCACATTTACGACTATCAACATTAGTGATCACTAAAATGTGACAACTTGTAGTAAATTAATCAACATAATCAGTTTTCCCTAACTCATTTTAGGATACACGCATGCTCTCACCTTAGAATCCACAATGTTGTCGCGCTGCCTCTTCAAAAGAGAAATAAATCTCTTATACCAAGTATAGAGGCTATACCTGTTGCATGTGACCTGTCAATTGAAGGATATCATTAACATATTATATTAGTGTGATTGAATTTTTATTCATTTCAATAAGACACGCAATATTGGTCGGTATGTTCGTGCGTTCCACTTATTGACTATAGTATCTTTACTTATTGTACTAATCAAATTGTTAATTTCACATTTAGAAACAGATAAAGCTTAAGACCAGGTTGTCCTTATTCTGACTATAGCTTTCACATAAACTCGGGAGTAGCCAGTATTGCGTTTACAGTTTTAGTAAAATAACTGTGGAACAAATTAAACCTTACAGCCTCCTTGTTCTGAAAAATATTTTCATGTAAATGGATGCACTTTCCAAGTATATCAACAACATTGACAAAAGGGTGTTTACTTTAAATAAATATTAAAGTCCATAGTTTAATTAGTGTACAAGTCAATTTTATTTATTTATTTGAACACATAAATATTGGTACAAAAGGGTACCAGATGCATATGCGTCGACGAAAATTGATAATAATCAGGTTCATCGATTTCAAGGATCGACTAATTGCAAATTGAATTTAGGTTATTTAATTGATTATACTTTCATATAATTGTGTTAATCTTGAATTAGAATTTGTGATTCGATATAAAATCTCCCGACCGGCAATAAGGAACCATTACAAGAGTTGACTACCAAGTTTATTCATCTACTGAGTTTTGGTCATGGTTTCATTGATCTAAAAGAATTGTTTTTTGATTGCAGTCTATGAAGGAGCGGACGTTACAGATAACCTTACCATGGTAAAATCAATAATTATGACAATAGAGATGTCATGTTTATGGACAAGTAAATACCGTTGGACTCTTCCAGAAAAGGTGACGTAAGAACGAACCAGTTTCTCATTCACTTGTTTTTATTAAAAATAGGATCACTATGATAACGAAGTTCACTCTCAAAGGTAACAGACAAATCATTCACAGGAGTATTTAAGTCTTTCGTTAGTTGACGTTTTCGGCGAGCTTCTGAGGTGGTTTGTTTAGGATTATGCATTGAACTAGATATTGCTTCTTGACTACGAAACCAACTTTCTGCATTGAATCCAATGGAACCAACAAGAACAGCGAATGGCAACGCCACATATCGAACATTGGTACGTATGAACTGAAGAATAAGCGGCCACATCTACGTACTGGGGGAAAAGACAGTATATAAATATACAAATATAACTTTTTCTATTCCAAACTGCTTAATGTGGAAGCTTAAGATGGTATGCTTTTGTGCGAGGCTCTGTTGTGATGTATGTCGTAATAACTGGTTTACAGTAACTAAACAGAAATATGAGAAAAAGGTAATGAGGTAGATTCATCTTTTAGTATATTGTGTAGAAAGCTCATGTGCGGTTATAACTTCGCATAAATATAAGTTCTCAATGATAATAATGATAGTGGCTTGATTTAATATTGCATGTTTGGTACAATATGGAATTCTTAGCACATGAATAGTGAATTACACATTACTTTTACTATGGTGCTGATAAACGTAGTCCATTTAGGGACAAAGGTTTACACAATCAGTTTTGAGTCACACTGTGTGAGGGCTAGAGATACCATCCGACAACTAAAAGCGAAGCCGAAATGACATCTGAACCTAATACTTCTTAGTTTTACGCTACTGCCAAAATAATCATTATTAATGCGGAAAACTCCACCAATCAATTCATATATCATATTAAGTAACAGGAATTTCAATTAACCATTCGATTGTTTAAGTTGCTAGTATTAACTAGCTAGGACATTAATTACCAAACGCCCACGACCATGACACATGGAGAAATTCGACAAGCTTTAGACTTAGTTAAGTGTATCTCGATTAAGCCTAGATCACAGTTAAAGGGAAAACTGATAGTTAAGGATAATTAACCGAAACCTGCTTCAGGTTCATCACTAGCTCAGTTACTCACCTATAAAGTATACCCTGGCCAAGTGTGTGTCAGTCCAAGTCGTTCACCCTAAATCAACATAATGAAGAAACATCGACAAGAAGCAGAGTATGGTAAACACTATCAACTTAAATAGATAAAAATCTAAAGACAGAAAATATAGTAAAAAAAGTGAGGTCAAAGAATGAAAATTATGGAACAACACTGAACTTAAATATTGGAGGAAGGTCGAGAATAAATACAAGTAAGCCACTGCCATCGTTTTAAGGATGTTGTGTTTCGAAAGTACATTGAGATTACTCCGCAAGTCCCAAATAAGGAATTTGTACTCACTAACAACCTACTCTAAGAGTTAACGATTCCGAAGACTATTAGTATGTATTCATCTGGCCTCGCGATCTTTTAACCTAATCAGTGTAAAATGCACATATTATTTGAGTGCTTGTGGATACGCAATATATTGCAGAAAGTCATCATTTGAAATAGCTCTATCAAGTGTTGTTCGTTACTAATATTAAATATCTTTATTAGTGCTCAAATTTAGCATGAATGTCATATCTTATCGCCACTCACTAATATCATATGACAAAGCCATTAAGCAGATTATTGATCTCGATGACTTTGTCCCTGAGTCAACCAGCACTGGCAACCTTGTTTCACTAATGAGTCCTCATTGGTCTTTAATTTGATAGCTCCTCCCCTTGCCCTGCCATTGAGTCAAGAACATGGAAATCAGCCTTCACCATACGAATACTATATTTAAAACATACGCAGCTTATATGCAGACACACCCGGCTGCATTACATCATAAAATGAAAGATAACAATTATACATGATCAAGCCAAGAAGTGGTTATGAGTAGAGGAAACTGCGAATAATAAGTTGACAACACATTAAGAATAATAAGTCATTTAACAGTAGGTAACATGTCAAACGATAGCTCATGATGAGATGAGTAATATATATATATACATATATATATATATATTCTTTATCGGATATAACAGAATATTTTTAAACTTGTGAAAAGGTTTCTTTCATTTATGCGACCCCGTACCCGCAGAATCTTCATTCGACAGTAACACAACAGTTGAATTCGGTGAGAAAGCTGGCAAAGTGTAAAGCCTTTCATAAATTACGTGTTGTGGCGTGCTTCCTTAATTGATCGTACGTAATGTCTATCCTCGTATGTAATAAATGACTTAATCCGCGTTGGCGAACGGCGGAGTTAAATACGTCAAATACGAGAATGGATTTAGAATACATATATTTTCCATACTCATTGATCTGGCCAGAGAATCAGAGTGATAAAGCGAATAAAAGCAAACGACGCGAAAATGACATGCAGTGGAGATGGCTGGGAAGCCAACTCGCTTTAAGCAAGCGTTAATCAACATTTATAGTCAGACAAAAATGAATGACAGACAAATGATGGATAAGATACGAAGTATGCACACATATACGCTAATATAAAAAGTAGTCAAGGTTAATAAGCGAATAATTGACAAGATCAAAACATGACTCATAATGTATGGGTGAATTAGCTTGGCCAGTAGCTAGAATAAAGCATATGGGCTTAACATGTAAACCGATACTACATACGTAAGAATATAGCGTTTTCCCCTTTAAACTGTTCAAGACTATTATAATGATATGAAGTGGAGTTGTAGCGAACAAAACACTAGTTGGGGACAATCGAATGTATTTAAGCAAACATTACAGACTATCTCGGTAAATTCTGATAACCAAACAATGAACAGTCAATTTGCAAATTAATAACCAATTGTTTCAATCTTCACTGTTTCTTCTCTAATTCCATTGCTCATGCATTTTCCAAACGATTGCGCTTCATTTCAGTTCTTTCCTCATAGGTCTTCTACCAAAATACATTCTATGTCTGACCCACGCCATATACTACTTATATGGATATAAGTAGACAACACCACACTCGTCCCCCCTTTAAAGCATTCGTTCATGCGGTGGTTCTGCTCGCCACGCCGCTATCTTCTTCCACTGCAGTCTGTGCCAAACTCTCCGTCAGAATGTCGAGTCTGCGGCGCGCTGACCTCCATAGCTCCGTCGACCTGCCGGGGCACCAACATCCGCATCCACCCGGCACCTGGGACGTTCAACACCCGTACTCCACCGGCCTGCTGAGCCATCTACATCCGATGTCCGCCCAGCAGTCGCACGTCCCACTGCTCCTCTCCGTCGACAGCACCCGCTACAGCCAACGCCGCCGCGCCAGAACACTCCACTTGACGCCACCTCTCCTCACCAGACTGCCCCAACTAGCACCTCCACTCCAGACCCGCAGCGGCGTCCGCAGAACAGCACCCTTCCTCCTCCTGGTTGGCAGCGACACCAAATGTAGTGAACAAAACACTAGTTGGGGACAATCGAATGTATTTAAGCAAACATTACAGACTATCTCGGTAAATTCTGATAACCAAACAATGAACAGTCAATTTGCAAATTAATAACCAATTGTTTCAATCTTCACTGTTTCTTCTCTAATTCCATTGCTCATGCATTTTCCAAACGATTGCGCTTCATTTCAGTTCTTTCCTCATAGGTCTTCTACCAAAATACATTCTATGTCTGACCCACGCCATATACTACTTATATGGATATAAGTAGACAACACCACAGAGTGATTTGATTGAACTAGCTTCAATGGCTTGATGATTGATGAATCCATCGCAAAAATTAATTTTTGCACGTGAAAGGTAGCCTTGGCCGAACTTTTCAGTGTAAACCCTTTGTAGTTTAGACATATGAACGGGTGGAGTTGATTACTCAGTGTTGCTCTTAATTAAGTTTTACGGTTACTGCCGGTCCCAAGACCGGATATTTATTTATTTAAACATAAATATTGGTACAAGGGGACACTAGATATATATGCGCCACGATCGGGTAAAGGGGAGTTGGGGATACGGTTAGCAACCTCGTTCCGCATCAAAACAACCTTCTTGAAAAACGCTAAGCAGAAAGCCATATGAATCATTGAAACTCTATTCATGGGTTGAAAGATCCTCATTAAGATGATTTATGATGCCTCATGGTGAAAGTCGAGATTGTTCGGAGTTTAAGAAGCCGATGCTTCTTCCGATAACTAGAGCAACAATTATCATAGGCACATAGTACACCAGAGTGAACAATCAAGAGCGAATAAGGCAAACCAATCACTGAAACTCAAGGACAGCGCAACAGGTAGGTAGAACACTTTAAAGAACTTAAATAGACCAGACCCATTGAACCCAGTCAGTCAGCTACAACGTAGGACCAGGCACATATATGCATCGGTCCAAGTTGCCATACCTCGTTAGCACAACAAGATCAACACCAAATTCATAGAAGTAGTTAATTAAGTGGTGGTAGTATATAAAGAAAGGTTGTATATAAGGATATAGTATAGGAAGGAAAAAAGTTATGAAGCAATTTTAATCTCAAGGTTTAAGGGAAGATGAAGAGTGTATACACCTACGCCATTGTGATCGATTCTGAGCCATATCACAGAGTCTCCAACCATTGGTTAAGAAAGTCACACGGACCCCAACCAGGTAGTCTGCATCTACGAACATGACTCAGACTAGAAGTTAGTGACTTCAAGTATTGATTCCATGTTTTGGTTTGGCCGCCCCTAACTCTTTTCTAACCATTCCCTACACTAGTCAGCATAGTGCGTCGTGGTAATCGGTGTACAGGCATACGTAACACGTGGCCCAACCATCTCAGTCGATGAAGATTCATCACCTCATCAACTGATTTACCATCATTTCCTAATACCCTGCGTCGAACCTCACTAATACTTACCCGGTTATCCCAGCAGATGAGAGCAATATTTCTAAGGCATCTGTGGTCAAATACTAGTAACCTACGAGTATCTTCTACTCTTAATGGCCATGTTTCGCAGCCGTAAAGTAGAACAGAACGAACAGCTGCGCAGTATACTCGTCCCTTAATTGATAGATGGATATCTCGTCTTTACCATAGGTGACGTAAGTTAGCAAAAGCCAAACGAGCTTTTTGAATCCATGCTGAGATTTCGTCAGACACCAACCCATTAGGGCTGATCAGACTTCCAAGACAAGTGAAGTTGTCCACGTGTTCGACTACTTCACTCCCTATCCTTAGTTCAGGTGTTGACACAGGCCACTTTTGAAGTAACAATTTACATTTGGATGGGAAGAAATGCATCCCAAACATCCTTGCATTATTACTCAATTCTAACAGAAGACTCTGCATTTTGCCAGGGTCTTCACCAAACGGGACTATGTCATCTGCATATTCTAAGTCGATAAGTGAACCTCCTGATAGAAGATCAATTCCTGAAAATTCAGTCGACGAGTGTTATTTCCAGCAACAGGTCTATAATGAAGTTAAACAAAAATGGGGATAATGGACAGCCTTGACGGACATCACTTGAGGTTGTAAAATCTTATGACAGTTCGCCATAAGCTCTTACTCGAATGGAAGTGTTCGAGTAAAGAGCCTTCAAAAGGTTTATGTACTTCTCAGGTACACCTTTCAATGACAGACACTGCCACAGAACCTCTCGGTCTACAGAGTCAAATGCTGCTTTCAAGTCAAGAAAAACTATCATTGTCGGACGCCGATAAGCGTGTTTGTGCTCTAAAACTTGACGAATGGTGAATATGTGGTCGATACAGCCACGACCAGGTCTGAAGCCAGCCTGATTTTCTCGTGTTTGCAGTTCACGAGTCTTAATTAGGCGCCCGATAATTATTGAGGTTAGTATTTTAGATGCTATGTTAGTCAGACTAATCCCTCTATGGTTATCACAGGATGATTTTGGCTCCTTCTTATATATTGGGACAATCAGAGTTTGTGACCAGTCAGATGGGATTACGTCCGTCTCCCAGATTTTAGCCAGAATATTAGTCAACCTAATCGCTAAAATTGGACCACCATATTTAAAGACCTCTGGAGCCAATCCATATGGACCAGCTGCTCTTCCTCGTTTCAGATTACTTATAACCTTTTTGAACTTCAAGTAAGGTCGGGGGGCCTACTTCAATGTTCCATTCCGGTTTTCTGGGAATAGTGGTTAGTTGTGCAGTAGCTGAAGGCTAGCTAAACTGCTCCTTAAAGTGTTCCGCCCATCGTTCTAAACGTTTGGATTAAGAGCAGATAAGGGTTCCATCTTTTTCCGAAATTGTCTCACTTACACTTGACTTCTTAATTCCCGTTTCTTTTATTAGTCTGAATAGTTGCCTGGTGTTGCCTACAGCCGCTGCCTTTTCCATCTATTTTGCTTTCGTTGCCCACCACTGCTCACGATCGTTCCTTAGACTTTTAGTTAACCTAGATCTAATTTGTTTACGCTCTTCGTCGTGTTCAGAGCCTGATGGGATGAGTTTACGCGAATCCATCAGTGAAATAGACTTAGAAGAAATCCACTGGTTTTTTGGAACCCTATGGTTTAAATAACTAATAGATGTTACTCCTGCTTCAGTTCGGACACCTGAGCAGTATCACAGCCCTCACACAAATCGAAAGAGATTTGTATGGCGCATATTTATCTGGTGCTTCCTTGTACCAATATTTATGTGTTTAAATAAATAATAATAAAATAGATGTTACTGCTGTTTCCACAGCTGTTCGTACTTCTTTCCAAGCAGCATCTGGGTCAGTCTCGTTTACAGAACTGCCTAGATGTGCACTCAGTTGTTTCTGGAATTCGCATTTGGCTTTCTCGTCCTCCAGTTCAATCCTAATGGGTCTTCTTAGTGCACTTTTCCTGCGTCCATTGAGGCGCAGACAAATGCGTGCTCGTATTAAAGAGTGATCAGAATCTAAACAAGTATTCCAATACGAGCGACAATCTATTGACCTCTCCAACGATGACTGATGACAATATGGTCTATTTGAGTCCATCGTTGGTTTGGTTCAGGTGGTCTCCCTGTTAGACGATGTCGTGTGTTCGGGCGCAGAGACGATAATTCAATTGGTGTCACCATCTTGAAACACCGACTTCGGTGGCTTGGACATGTTTTACGAATGTCGTCCCAGAGACTTCCACGTCGTGCATTATTTGCCGACTCTGGGACTGGTTGGAAAAAGCGGAGAGGAGGTCAGTGTATGACATGGTGTCGTGGCATGAAAGAAAGCTGCAAAGGGCTAGCTTCCGTTGGTCCTTCACGACTCCCTGGTTGGGGTCCGAGAGATGGTGCAACACAGTGGCTAGAGACGTTATCGGATATGGCTCAGAATAGAAGCCAGTGGCGATCCTGCTGCAACCTTCTTTTACTTTCTACATAAAGAGTGGTTCTAACTTTCTTAACTGAAAGTGTCTTCTGGTTGTACATTTTAGTCCACGTTATCTTTTCATCCTTTCTCTTGCTACTTTCATTATTTTGTGTGGCGCATATGTATCTGGTGCCCTTTTGTACTAATATATGTGTTTAAATAAAATAAAATAAAATAAAATAGACGATGTCTCTCCTTATGCTTAAAATTAGTGCTTGCTAAAAATAAACGATTGTCTGAGCATAGTTGCAACAGACGTTCACCATTATCGGTTCGTTGAGCCGGAATACTAAAACACCCACCTAAATGTCTTTCTGTTTGATTTAGGCTGCCTACCTGGGCATTAAAGTCATCCGCTACGACTACTATGTCTGAGCGCTTAGCTTTCTGAAGAAGCTCAGAAAGCTTTCTGTAAAAGTCATCTTTTACTTCATCAGGGCTGCAGTCAGTGGGAGCGTAGGCAGAAACGACGAAAAGGCAACGACGTGTGTCCCTATCCTTCCGAGTTCTTACGGATCCATTTAGCCGGACAGCACACAGGTGACTGTTAACGGGGATCCATTCTAGTAGTGCCTGTTCTGCCCTTGTACTTAGTGCTATATCTACACCTGCAAGTCGACGAGAACTAGCCAACGGGTCGCCAGATACACCGAGGGTGTATTTCGTTGGCTGTCCATTTTGGCGAGGTGAGGTCAAGTGAATGACCACACTAGGATTCTGTATGCGTGTTTCGGAAACACAGCATATATCAATGGCACTAGATTCTAGGGTTTTAGCTAAGGAGGCCTGTTGACCGATCTGACTTGGGGTACGTACGTTGAAGGCTCCAATGTGCAGTTTGGAACGAGGTTTTAGTAGACCTGGAGCAGCGTTTCGCGTACTAGAATCATTGACACTTGAGGAGGGAACCGAAAGAGGAAGTTTAGTGTTGAAAGTCAAGGTAGAAGGAATAGTAGGAATTGAAGAAGGAGATTGATTATGAATACAGTGGTCTTGAGTGCTGTGAGAGGTATGAGGGCAGTTATCACTTCCCGGTCGCCAACACCGCAGAAGGGTTCTTCTAAAGGTACCTGAAAAGGAAATTGGGTTAGAGGTGGTCTTAATGACCTGAGAGCGTGACCGCAGTGTCCAAGGGACAACTGCTTGAGGTCGGTCACACACGAACTTTTTGTGTTAGCTCCGTTCTTCAAAGAACCTTACCGCCGGAGACGGATATCTGTAGAATAAGGCGGTGTGCATTTTTAGGGTTTGACCTTTTTTAACCCCACCCCTCCTTGTGGGAAGGCAGCATCGCTGTCATGCTGGTTGTCTGAAGGAAACACCTTACTGCCGTCACACCTCTGTACAGTCAGCAGTACGACTTCGCCTTCGGACCTTGGGTTTGCTGCTTTTAGTCTCACCGCTCTTCAACCGAACTGTCTGGCATGGTAGGACCTTGAGGAACGATTGTTCCAGCCAGTATAGCTCCATTGACTGATCATGATAGGCAAGATCGACCACCACGTCAAGGTAGCAGCAGCTGAACCCACCCAACATCAAAGTAACAAGCACAAACCTCTCTATAGATGTCACCTCACCAACAATCGGAGAAATCAGCGTGATCATCAGACAAATCATTAGGGGGAATCCAGCAGAATCAAACAACATACCAGCTGAAGCACTGAAGTCAGATATTGGAAGTAACTGCAAACATGCTCCACAATCTCTTCAGAAGGACTTGGGAACACAAACAAGCATCAACAGACTGGAAAGTAGGATACCCCATCAACATCTCAGCAAGTGTGAGGACCACAGAGGCACCACACTATTATCAGTATCAGGAAGTTTTCGACAGTGTTGGTGAACTGAATGAAAGATTCAGCAGATGAACAGCTGAGAGATCGACAGGCTGGATTCCGTAAGGATAGGATGTGCACAGACGGAATTGCGACACTACGTATCATTGCTTAACAATCAATTGGATGGAACTGGTCACCATACATCAACACCATTGATTATGGGAAAGCGTTTGACAGTGTGGATAGGAGAATCTTGTGGAACCTTCAATACCATGGTATACCTGAGGAAAATTGTTATAACTTGTGGCCGAGTGGATGCCCTGTTAACGTATGATGTGATAAGGCCGCCAATCAGAAAGCAGCGAACAGTGACACACGAAACCATACGAGCAGTCTAGAGTACTTGTACGATTTCGCCTTCAGACCTTGGGTCTGCTGCTTTTAGTCTCACCGCTCTTCAACCGACCTGCCTGGCATGGTAGGACATTGAGGAACGATTGTTCCAGCCAGTATAGCTCGATTGCGACGACTGGCATAAGCTTGTCTGCTTTCGGATGAACGAAGTAGCTCGTCGCATTGGAACTGTCGGAAATTGTGTCGGTAGCGGTGTTAAGTTGTGTCGTTTTCCCACGTTTAAATAAAGTTTTAACAAAGTTATCTAGAACAGTCGATATACAGTACCAAACGGTCAAAGTGGATACGATATGTGGTACATATATAAAGTGAAAGCCTGTATTAGTTGAAATTTGGGGGGGGGGTGCACAGATAAGTAGTTTTGAAGATTATAACCATCTGGAATCATTATGATACTTTATGACCGAATATATGAAACGGCTTCTCAGGTGAAAATACTGGCCAAAAGCTATGACACACTCATCGAACCGAACAGGTAGTTTCAGAAATTAAATGTTATAACATCCACATACAATTTCAAAGATAGTACATGAAATAGCGAGTATAGTCCTTCGCCATACATGATGTTTTTTCTTCTTAAGTATTAGGTGGTCTGGATAGATCTTGTGAATACATAAAGTACGTAAGTACTTACGTAAGCACGTAATGAAGAATAGTATGCAAATGTGGAATGCAATTCTTCGTCAAATATGATCATATATGGTTTGAAAGTGATAGAGTATGGTTCTATCGCATACTCAAAATGAATATGCAATTATATGAACATGAGTTATCATACAAATATGACCATATATATATATGGTCATGGTATATACCATGTTCATGTCAAACTAAGATCTTATCACAGAGTATGAAATTTATAGTTTGAACTTAAATAGTTCATAATTTTATCTTACGTAATTTCAAGAAAAAATAACCCACCCAGTTCTATAGGAACCCTAGAAAACGAGAACTGAATGCCCCGACCTGAAAGTAACGTCCAGTTTGTAGCGGGCGGTTTAGTCGAAATCATGTAGACTTATGAATCGTAAGTTCATATATTGTTGAAAAACGTATTGCATGTCGTTATGGTTTCTCTGAATACAACCCAGCTATTCATATTGTTCGGTATTCTTGGACACCAGTTCACTCGACAAGTTTTCTTATCGGAAAATGGTCAACCAATAACAAAATTAAATACCAAATAACACAGCAAATGAAAGTAAAAAGCAGATTAAGTGAAACGTTAGTATATTTACAGTTTTTCATGAGAAGATTGTAGAGTTTTCTCCAAGTAACTGCTGGCGCTGATTGAATAAGAAATAGCCAATCAGTGTGTACCAACACAATCGTGCACGGAACGTGCTTTAGTCCAATCGATGTGCCGCTAACACATGTACACGAGCAATCTTAGTCCATATCTTAACTAGACACTTCGTCGTACGAAACATGTCACCTAAAGCTAGATAATAAGCTCTTTGCATCAACGTTTTACGAAATGGTCATGTTATCTGAACCTTCTAAACTCTAGTTACATTAGTGGTTACCATTTATACTTATTTTTACCATACACTTTGTATTTGCTGTTATCTCATATGGTAAATCATGGCTGGACTTCTTTTTTACCCGAAAGTCATTTTAATTACTTTTTCAGTTTATTCACGTGCAATAAGGGTTTGGAAAATATCTAAACAATCTCTGAAATTCTTCACGAACTCCACCATAGTCTTCGCATTTGTTTATATTCACATATCCAACTGTTACACTAACAACATCGAAACAAAAGTTCAGTGCAACTGTCAGTATACGTAAGAAAGACTTTATTTCGATTTCACGTTATAACACATCCGAACGTTTGTAGTTATTAAATTTCAACGTTGTACTTTATTTTATGAAGTATTGTCTCCTCGTGGCTGTTAGCTAACAGATGATTTCGGTACATCAATCGGCTGTTCAACTACTCGACGATCTAAAACCTGTCCAGTTCAACCGATGGTCTCAGGACACTATCGTTCTCTCAAACCAACAGTTTATGCGATAGAACGAATCTCCTGCAAGCTGAAAACTACATTGCCGCCCCTATCTCAACACTGACAACATTTTTCACTGTTATAATTGACATGAATCCTGAGTGATACTCTTGTTTTCCTATGTACTTTTCGTTTTACTTATCTAATAAGCATACAACGCTCATCGTTTATTATCTTTTAGAGACTTCATCGTCCCACCCTTGCTCTCGATTTGTAGTCGTCGATCCTTAATGATTGTCACGGTAGTCATCAGCTTTTCGAACTCTGACTACAAGTTGATCAAGGGCTTCGCACAGCGAAACCAGAATTTCTCACAATTATACTTCTATACATACAGTTAGTCTGTTAAATACATATATAACTAGAACTCGACAGAAGCTGTCAACGACACTGTCTAACTTTATACTTTGAACCAATGACAGTATAAGCATCGGCATCGATTGATAATGCACTTATCCCACCACCAGTATATAATCATTACTCTTGCGGCAAACTAAACATTTTCATCTGAGAAACCTGTCAGAGC